ACAGCCAGCACAGCATGACTGGGGACTTTCACTGCAGCTGCCTTTGTCTTTACAGAGCTGCTGCCCTTTGAAGAGAGTACCACTTGACCAGCCTGAAACCTCTTGCAAATCAGGTAGATGAGAGATCAAGCTTTCTCTTTGCTGCCTGTGTCATGCCCCCCCTCCTCCCATCTGCTTCCAGTTTGCTCTTTCAGGATCCAGCCAAGAACCTGCATATGAAGCTGGTGCCTCTTTCACAGGTGTGAGTTTGCATATGTGTGAAGGGAGGTGCTTGGTAGTGAAGGTGATTCTCAGAAGAGCAAGCACACCCAGAAATGCCCTGCAGAAAGTCCATGGGAGATTCTAGGGCAGATGGCCTCCTTTCTCTACCCAGTCAGAGACCCAAGCAGGGGGATCAGTGTGAGCACCCTGCTGCAGCTGTCGCATTCCCCGGGCCTCAGCATGTAGAAAATGTGTCATGTGAGATTTGGCATGGGGCAATGTACTCCTCTGCCTTCCAGGCCCAGCACAGGCAAAAGTCAAGAGGCACCTTCTTCTCAGAAGGCAGATTTTGCCATTTTAGAGACCAGCCCTACTCCTTCATTGCTGGTTGAAGTCACCTCTGTCACTGAGAGAGAAGGAAAGAAAAAGGCAATTATGTGGCTCCATAAGAAACATGGCACTGGCCATTAGCTAGACTGGCGCAGTGTTAGAGGACATATAAAGCCCAGAAGCTTGGCCCAAGATGCGTAGGTGAATTCACCCTCTCTCATTTTCCCATCAGCCTTATGACATCACTTGCCCCATTTTCCTCTTCTGTTTCTCAGTCTGTAGCCTGGGTTACACGCAGCTATGCCACAAGCAGAGAGTTCAGTGCAGCTTCAGCTTGCACACCCTGATGGACTTTCTGCCAGCCCATAGCAAATATTCTGGAATCAGAAGCCCAATGAACAGTACAGAAACACTGCTTCCCCTAGTTGAGTGCCTCTTGCTGTTAAGCACGCGTTTTGCTAAATGAGAAAGAGATTCAGCCCAGGCTGGGAGACAGTGTTGAGTCCTTGCTGAACTGGGGATTTGGATTTTCTAGGTGAGGTTGATATAAACAGGAAGAGTTGTTAGCTGCACGGCTAGGGGATAGACAATAAAGAACAGTTTGCGCAGAAACAAGCAGTGCTGCTTCAAAAGCATTTCCAGAAGATCAGCGTGACTTCTCAGAATGGTCTACACCACGGTAGCTCCCTAGGGCTGGCAGACCTACAGTGGAGCTGGAGCTGTTGGAAAGCAGCAATGATCTTTTCACTTTGACTTTTCTGGAAGCCCAAGGTCAGCTGCCCTGTGCTTTGCTGTCATGTTCACTATTCCTGGCAAGATATTCAGGAAGAGCTTCCTAAAAGTAACAGTATATAGGATCAAAGAAGTTTGAGACACCCTTTTCCACATTTAATCATTGATTTATGCCCACGCTACTCACTAGGAAGGAGTCTAGGAAGGAAATTGGGCTTTTAAGACTTTTTGGTACATGTACAAAGTGTTACCAGTATTTCATCAGAAAAAATATTAACGGGAAGGCAGCATAAAGTTCTTGTACAGATAGACTAATGAGCAAATACAATGGAAATATTATACAAATCTCTTGAGAAGTAGAGGGAAGGAAATCTAATTTTCCATGTCTCTGCATGATGATCCTGTGCTTGATGTTAGGAAACAGGAAGCAGATAAACAGGAAAAAGAAGAAGGAGCTGGCAAAGAAAGTGCAATAGGGAGAGTAGGTCACCCAGTGCAAATGTACTGAGTGGTTCCGATAGACATTTTTAACAATAGCAGGAAAAAGTCTGAAGAGGATTCCACCTCAAGTAAATCTTGGGTCAAATGATGGGGATATTTAGCCATCCATCAACTTTTGTGAAATGTGGCAAAAGGAAATGTTTATTGTTTAGTGTATTGTTTTAATGAGATGTTTGCATTGTTTTGTTTTTGTAACTGTGCTACTCTATCACCTGTCAGCGTTTATCACAGAATCACAGAATGGCTTAGGTTTAAGGGAGCCTTAAAGACCATCTAGTTCCAACCTCCACGCAAATGGTAGGGTTGCCAACCGCTAGATCAGGCTGCCCAGAGCCCCATCCAACCTGACCTTGAACACCTCCAGAAATGGATCATCCACAAACTCTCTGGGCAACCTGTTTCAGTGCCTCTGCACTCTCTGAGTAAAAAATTTCTTTCTAACATCTAACCTAAATCTACCCTCTTTTAGGTTAAAGCTATTCCTCCTTGTCCAATCACTATCAGATAGTGTAAAAAGTTGGGCTCCCTCCTGCTTATAGCTCCGTTCATGTACTGGAAGGCCACTATGTGGCCTCCCTGGAGCCTTCTCCAAGCTAAACAAGCCCAAATCCCTCTGTCTTTGATCATCCTTGTGGCCCTCCTTTGGACCTGCTCCAACAGCTCAGCATCCTTTCTGTACTGGGAGCCTTGGGCCTGGACACGCTACTCCAGATGGGGCCTTATAAGGGCAGAGTAGAGCCAACCACATCCCTCTCATTTGCTGGCCACTCTCCTGATACAGCCCAGGATACCATTGGCCTTCTGAGCTTTCTTGGGCCTCTCTTCCCTCCAGGGCTTTCTCCCATGTCTCCCTGCCAAGCAGTTCCCTGAAGACTTCCAAGTCTGCTCTCCTGAAGTCCAGAGTAGCAAGCTTGCTGTGCACCCTCTTTAATAACCTGAGGATATTGAAATCTGTTATTCCGTAGTCACAGCAACCAAAGCTCTGTCCTTGAGCGTCACATTACTCACCAGCCCCTCCTCACTGGTGAGGACAAGGTCCAGCATAGCACCTTTTCTCATGGGTTCCTGTATCGCTTGGAAGAGGAAGTTATCAACACATTCCAGGAACCTCTTTGATTTCTGGTGCTCTGCTGTATTGTCCTGCCAACAGATATCGGGGTGGTTGAAGTCCCCTATGAGGACCATGTTTTGTGAATTTGAGGCTGCTCCTATCTGTTTATAGAGGGCCTCAATCCACTTGGTCTTCCTCATTAGGTGGCCCCACTATGATGCGGGGCCACCTTCCTCTGCCTTCCCTTTAACCCTAACCTATAAGCTCTCTGTCAGCTCCTCATCTATCAGCAGATGGAGCTCCATAGACTCCAGGTGGTCAATGATGTAGAGGGCGTACCACTCCCCTTCTCCCTGCCTGTCTTTCCTAAAGAGCTTATAACCTATGCCATTGTAGAAGGCCACTGGGTTGGTCAAGCACGATCTTTCATTGGTGAAGTCACGCTGGCTGTTTCGGATCACTCTCCACATCTCATGGATCTGCTCCACAGTCTTCTCGGACACAGATGTGAAGCTCAATGGCCTGTAGTTTCCCAGGTCTTCCTTTCTCCCTTTCTTAAAAATGGGAGTCATGTTTCCCTTTTTCCAGTCACTGGGGTCTTCACCTGACAGCCAGAGTTTTTCAAATATGATGGAGTGACTTGGCAACCATGTGAGCCAGATCCTTCAGGTCCCTGGGATGCATGTCCCCATGGACTTGTACACATTCAGCCTCATGAGGTGGTCTTGGACTTGCTCTGCTCTTACACTGGGAGTGATTTTGCTCCCCCATCACCCGCTTAGAAGTATGGGAACATGAGAAGCATGAGAAGCCTGACTAGCTGTGAAGACCAAGGCAAAGAATTCATGAAGTACCTCAACCGTCTCCACGTCTGAGGAGGCCAGCTCTCCCTTTTCAATTTTATTAGGGCAGATATACTCTCCTTTGCCTTGTCTTCTGCCAAATGTATCTAAAGAATCCTCTCTTGTTGTTTTTCACATCCCTTGCCAAATTCAATTCCATCTGTGCCTTGGTTTTCCTGGCTCCATCCCTGCACATCCAGACAGCATCCCTATATTCTTCCCAGGCCACCCATCCTTGCTTCCACAGCTTACACTTTTTCTTTCTTTCCCTCAGCCTGACCAGCAGGTCTTTGCTCAGCCATGCTGGTTTCCTGCTTCATCTGCCTGATTTCTTATTCTGGATGATGAAGAGCTCTTGTGCTCTCAGAAGGGCATCCTTAAAGTACTGCTAGCTCTGTACGTTAACATGTTCTCTTTTTACCCTTCCATTTTGTCCAGCTACAAAGCAAACTGAACAGGGATGGAGAAGGGTGTTCCTGTCTAGTTCTTGGAATGCTTTGCAGCCTATTACGTTTCTTGAAGATATTCACAGGGCACCAACATACCTATCCCTTGAATTGCCTACCACAATTGGAAGGTGACATAGGGGTAAGAGCAAAATTATGAGCAACTGATGTAACTGAAACCAAAGCATCATTGAAGTTAATAATGAAAGTGGTCGCTGGAGGTCCTCGGAAGACGCCTTACGGTTGGGCCTGCCCCCTCTTTCACACAGAAAGACCGCGGATCGCCGTGAGACGCCCCCGCCCCCAACCGCCGTCGCCCGGAGCAACGGGGCGGCCCGCGCCAGCCGGCGGGAGAGACCCTTAGCGGCCGGGCGGGAGGCGGGATGGCCGCGTCGCGCTGCCCCGCGTGCGCCGAGCCCTGCGTGGAGCCGCGGCTCCTGCCCTGCCTGCACTCGCTGTGCGCGCCCTGCCTGCGGCGCCTGGGGACGCTGGGAGAGCCGGGCCGAGCCGCCGCCCTCAGCGTGCTGTGCCCGCTGTGCGACGCCGAGGTGGCGCTGCCGTCGGGCGGCCTCGGGCAGCTCATCCCGGACTACACGGCGCTGGGGCGCGGCGGGGCCGCCGGCGCGGCGGGGTGCGACCTGTGCGCCGACGGAGCGGCTGCGAGGCGTTGCCAGACCTGCGGGGCGCGCCTCTGCCTCTTCTGCTGCCAGGCACACAGGTGAGGGCGGCGGGGCTGCCGGGAGCCGGCCGCGGCGCTGTAGCCTGCTTGCAGGTGGGCTGGGGAGGCTGCCCTCACAGGGAGCGGAGGGGCAGCGCTGAGCCTTACGGTTCAGCGACGGGGCCCGCGGGAACGGCGTGGAGCTGAGTCAGGAGAGGGGCAGCTGGGGGTGAGGGACAGGGTCTGCACCACAGGGCGCTGGGCATGGAACAGCCTGCCCAGGGCTGTGGCAGGAGGTTAAGATGCTGTGGGGTCATTTCACTTCAGAAACGTGAGTATGTACACAGGCACTTTCAGGTGGAATGGCAGGCCTGACACTGACCTGACCTGATTGCTATGGTTGCCACCTCCCGATGCTCCTAACTGTTGTGCCCACGGATCCTGCGTGCACTCTCAGCATGTGTGTGAGGCCAGGATCCTACAGCAGTAGTGCTATAGCTTTGCTGTGTGCAAGTCATTGTGGAGTTTAGTTCTGTTGGAATGTAGTTCCTGTTGGAAACTAAAGAAAAGGCAGGAGAAAGATTTTCACCTCAAAGAGAGTTGTGTCACTTGAGCAAGAAGAAGAGGTGGGGTTCTGGTAATGTACGAGCAGAAGAGGAGGGCAGTGCTGCAGAAGAGAAATGACCAGAAGCCTGAATAGCCTTCTGAAGCAAAGAGGCAACAGGCAGGGTCAGGAAAACCTTCAGTAATGCTGTCCCAGGAAGTTACAGCCAGGGTTAATTAGCTTGGCCTACTTGCTCCATGTTTTCTGCCTTTTTCCATTTAATAGCAAAGTCTTTCCACAGAAAGAATTGAGGCAAATTCCTCACCTCCCTTCTCCCTGCAGATATCAGTGCCTGTGAGGTGGCTCTGATTCTCAGTTACCTTTCCACAGGGCTGCAATTTTCAGCATGCCATTCTGATGAGCTAATGCCTTATAGCCCATGCAAGCTGCTGAAGAATAATGAACAGAGATGTTGAATAGCAGCCCGCCGCATTGACAGAAATAGCTGTGCAAGGTATAAAGCAGTGGGAGGACTGTCCCAATGACACACTTCTGGCCATATTTCTTGATATCATTTTTTCACCCCATTAGCATCTGCAGACTAACACTTGCTTTCTCTCTTGATGGCAGAGCAGAACCAGGGCCAAGAAAAGCAATTTTGAAATGATTTCCTGCTGCACAAGGAAGATGTCTAAGGATCTGAGTGACACTGTTGTGCCTCTTGGAATAAGTGAGATAATCTTAAGTGAAGTCTGGGAAGTGTAAATGTGGAGGATGTAAGCAAATACTGCTAGAAAGCACTGAAAATTTGCTGGACCTGAGGGAAATTGCTGGAAAGCAAGAGGAATAGTGTAATGGGCCATGTCTTGCCCTATGTCGAGATTGCCAGGACAACACTAGAGCTTCGTCCTCACAGACTTTTTAATTGTTTATGGCTAGAGTTCCCTCTGCAACTGCCAACAAACAGCTTATTTATGTACAGTCATCAGTCCAGAAGACAGAAAAGAGAGATGGCTTTCATTTCTGGTCAGTAACTGGCTACCAGTGTCCAAACTAACAGAAAATGGAAACATTCCAGTGGAATTATGTGCAATGGTGACTATCTGGTTAAAATACGCTTTGTGTCCAACCCCTCATATCCTCTTAGTAGCATCTATCCAAAAGGAAAAGGGGGTTGACTTTCAGAATAACAAACATTTTACCACAGACTGTTGCCTATTCCCTGAACTAGATTTTCCCCTAGAGGGTCATTTAGAGTTTCTTTGCCTCTGCAGATCTAACACTGGTGAAAATCATTGGGTTGACACCACCTGTTTCTATCTAAAAGTAACTGTTGGTGAGCAGTTCTGTTTGAGACACCTTCTGCCAGCTCTCACTTGGCAGTGTACGCCTTCCTCCTGCTGGCTTTGTCACAGTGCGCTCTGGAGGTGATTGCAACCATCCCGCTCCTGACAGGCTCCATGGAGGGGCTGCTGGCAGTAGCAGCCTGGCAGCCTGTTCCCTGGGGTGTGTGGCAGTGGTGGGGCACACAGTTCTTGTGTCTGAAAATAGTGCTGACAGCATCTGGGGGGCCTGAGAGCAGCTTCTAATGAGGTCTTTACAGATGGTGTCCTCTTTTGTGTGGAGGCTTGTTCTCAAGAGATGCAAGTCCTTCATGTAGTATAAATTTCAGGGGAGACAGGAGGGAGCAGTGCACTTTGACTTGCAGACTGGCATTTGTAAGCGTTCTTGGATGTTAGCATTTCATATCCAACGTGCATAAAGTTCTGTGTTCTAGGAGACAGAAGAAGACTGCCTCCCATGTCGTGATGGAGCTGGAGAGCACCAGGGATTGCAGCCAGGCTGAGAAGCCTTTCTTCTGCCCTTCCCATCCCTCAGAGGAGCTGTGGCTGTTCTGCGAGCAGTGTGACCAGCCTGTATGCCAGGATTGCGTTGCACAAAGGCACCAGCAGCACCCCTATGACTTCACCAGCAATGCTGTGCACCGGCACAAGGACACCCTGCAGAAGCTGCTGAGAAGCACCCAGCAGCGCATGAGCACGTTAGAAGATGTGCTGAGCCAGACTGATGGTGTGGGCAGTGCCATCCGTGCTCGTGCAGAGGCCGTGGCCGCGGAGATCAGTCTGTTTGCCAGAGGATATGTGAAAGCGATTGAAGAGCACCGGGACCGGCTGCTGAAGCAGTTGGAGGACCTGAAGGTGCAGAAGGAAAACCTGCTGCACTTGCAGAAGGCCCAGCTGCAGCAGCTCTTGCTGGACATGAGGACAGGCGTGGAATTCACGGAGCGCTTGCTGACAAGTGGCTCAGACCTGGGAATCCTCGTCACCAAAGGGGTGGTGGCAAGCCGGCTGGCAAAGCTGAACAGTGCTGCTTACAGCACCCACCCCAGAGAGGATGACAGCATTCAGTTCTCTCCCCAGGAGAGGGCAGGGCAATGTCAAGGCTATGAGGTTTTTGGGGCCATTATCTGCAAAGCTGTTGATCCAGCCAAATGTACCCTGCATGGGGAAGGTAACAGGGTGCCATACCACTGGTTACTCCCTGAAGTCACGTTTCCATTCTCTGTGTCTGGGTGGGATGCAGCTGAAGGCTGTATTGGCTTCTTGTCCTTACAAGAATGCCTTTTTCTGAGAATGCCCAGGGAATAACTGGCATAGGTGGTTTCATGGATGTTTGCTTTCTAAAGACTTGGGGAAGAGCCAGCAAACAGATAACGTTCAGACTAGCTCTCAGTGCAGCCACCTCTGGCCTGCGCAGCACAGGTGGGCAGGCCCAGGGCTCACTCAGTCCTTTCTGTGTCACAGTGCAAGTGCTGAGGTTTCTAGGGCTCTGCACTGTATGGTGGCGTGCTCCTTCCTGGGTGTGTGGGGCACCTTGAAGCCCATAGGAAGGACACCTGCTGGGCTCAGAAGTGTAGGCAGGTGGCCACCTGGTTTGTGCAGACCTCTAGGAAGCAGACCTCTAGGTGGTGTATTTACATTTTCCTGTGGGTGGAGGGAGACATATACCCTATCGGTGGAGTCTTAGGTGTGCTCTAGCAGGATTAAAATACTACCACATGGGTGGGAGATGGCAGTTGTGGTTGTTGAGTCCTCACTTGACTTTTTCTCCACCTTCCAGATCTCTGCAGTGCCCATCAGAATGAGCTGACAGGCTTTACCCTACTCTGCAATGACACCACGGGAGAGCAGATGGGGAGAGGAGGAGAAGCCGTGATGGTCACCATCACCCACAAGGACAAGAAGGACTGGTGGGTATTTCACTAGACAACTCCCCAGTCGCTGAGTTTGCTTCTCTGTCCCCCTTATCCCGACTCCCTCCTTGTTTGGACAGGTTTAAAGAAGTCCTTCAACGTCTGAGTCACTATCTGAAGAAGTAAAGGCACAGTGGTTTTTCCCACCAGTGTAGCAGTGGTTTCTAGCAGTTGTATACAGTGTGGAGCTTGACATTGTTGGCTCGTGCTTGTATTGAATCTTTTAGTGGTCTTTGGCTTCTTAAAGGATTCAGCTTACAGTGAGTATTGCATAGCGAGCTGTTGCTGCTTCCCACCCCTACCAGCAGCCACCTAGAGCTCCTGCTTTTGTTAAAACCTAATGAGCATACAACATTGCAATGCCAAGAACGATCACTGTGAGCCATCAAGCCCCAGAACCTCTGGCAGCTGATGGAGGTGCCTAAACTTCTGTTCTGGAAAAAAAAGCATTGCTAATACTTCATTACACTTTCTCCTGTTGTTGAGCACTCTCACATCCTTGGGGGTTTTCGGGTGCATATGATGCAGCTGAGTCAAGATGCGAGCACAATTGTTGCAGGCTTTCTTCTTGGTGGGATGACCTGAAAAGAGACAGGATGCTAAACTTCTCTCATATGAGAAAGTATTGATGTGCTCATACAGAAACAGAGCTGGGTACACAGATGCTTGCCAGTGAAGGATCATTGTTCAAAAATATTGCTCCTTTGTACCTTCATTAGGTGTACAGATGGTACAAGGAGGTGTACGTGTAAGGTTTATGTGGCTTTTGCTTAGTAGGGTAGAGGTTGCTGTGGCCACGTTAACTCAGTTTCCTGTTCATATGCCTAGGCAGTTTTTCTACATCTGTTGCTGAAAGTTGTCTGGCTTCAGGGTGAGGCACAGCAGCTGCTGAAGAGCCTGAAGTATCAGCACGCAGTTCATGGCAGGAAGTGATGCAGGCAGTCATATTTGATGTAATATATAGTGGGGGATGGAGAATACAACCTATTAATCTGTGAGGCTATAAATGGCCATGTTGTGGGGCACATGAGACTAAATAGTAAAGATTAGGAAAATTACCTCCCTCTTTAAAGAGCTGCCTGCTAATTTTTTTGTGGAAGGCTCTTTCTGTGAAGTAGGCAATCAGCTCCCAAGTAACTGGATTATGGTTTTTCCTGTCACTGTCCACAAGTAGTGTGACACCCATTGAGCTTCATTTCGGGAAGGGAAATTGGCCAGCAGGGACCTAGAGCTGATCAGAGTGTCACAGAAGAGTTGAGGTCAGTGTATTTGGGGCAGTAGTTGAAGTGATTCAAACCTACCCTGTTTATGTCCTGTCTTCCTCATGGGCTCCTCTAAAAGTAAATTGTTCTACAAGACCATGTGTTTACCCCCTTTTGGAGGGCTCTTATCGGATGGGATGATCTGACCTGCAAGTGTTCTGTCAGTCATCTGCTCCTTCAGAGCTCTGGGTTACTGCAGATCCTTGCAGCACAGCTAGCTTTGTGCGACTTCCTCTGTATGGGTACTGCAGCTCCCTGTAGCAGGTGTGTGTGAAAGCTACTCAGTGCCTGAGCATTGCTTATGCATTCTGTCAGGCTCACTCAAGAACCACAGCTGCTGAACAGGGGTGAGGATGAGGACTTGACCAGAAATCTAGGGCCAAACAGTAGTTCACATGTACAGCAATTTACTGTCAATCACTGATCTCTTGGGCTTCTCTTTTTCTGTTCATAGTACAGTCAAACCAACAGTGTGTGATAATGGTGATGGGACCTACCATATTTCCTACAGCCCTGAGGAGCCAGGCTTGTATGCTGTCTGCGTGTATGTGAAAGGGCAGCATGTACAGGTAGCAGTTCTTGTTTGTTATGCATTGCTTCTTTACATACTTCTCCTTTCTAAGTATTTGCTTTAAATCTCTCTAAGAGTTGGTTCTATCACTTGGCAGTTAAGACATGCCAGTGATCTGTGACTGACAGGATCACCCAGCTTCTTTTTAGAAATGCAGACACAACATTGGGTAGCATGCACTGCAGCAGCTTCTCTGCTTGCTTGTCCTCTGCAGGGCTCTCCATTCATTGTGATGGTGAAAAGCAAGTTCCGCAAGCACCAAGGCATGTTCCACTGCTGCACGTTTTGCTCAAGTGGAGGAAAGAAAGCTGCTCGCTGTGCCTGTGGAGGGACTATGCCAGGTGAGTGTGCAGCTTTCCCTCTGCTACTGCTATCAGAAGGGTTTGTTGCATTCAGACTCACAATGTAGATAGGTGTGAATAATTCTAGCTCAGCTCCTCTCTTGCTTGTTCACCAGGACTGTGATAACTTGTGCATGTACCTTCTGGTAGGAAGGGACTGCAGCTGTGACAAACGCTGCAAGATGTGTTGAAGGTTTTTAAAGGACATTCCCTGTAAGAGACCTGAGTCAGCTCTGTGGGAGATGTGGCAGGGCAGCTTCATGATCATCTGTCAGCCCTTCTCAGTGAGGCTGAGCATGACTGTTCTGCTGTAGTGCTGCCAACACAGCAGCTTCCTGGCTGTGCCACACAGCGTCCAATGTTTGTTGGAGAAGTCTCATTCCTTGTTTAGGATGAGAGCTCAATTGCCGTATTTGTTTAATCCCAACCAGCTTCCTTGACCTTGGCCTGCATGTTTCATTGTGCATCCTGCATGTTTTTATTACACAATTTATTACACAGCCTCTTCTCTGTTGTTTTTTTTTTTTGTGCTTGCTCTGTATCCAGCTCTGGCCATAGCAGCTGGCAGGAGGTTCTGAAGGCCCATGTCTTGTATTACTTGGCAGGGAAGAAGACAGAAATCTTCAGCTTTCCCTAGTGATTGGAAGGGGGAAATCCCTCATGGTTGTTCCCTTTTCTTTATGGGACTCTGTCAATTTTGGTTTTAAATACACGTGTGCTTTCCTTTCTTAGACAAATCCTGGAGCTGAAGCACCCTCTGAAAGCCACTGGTGCTGGGATTTTCTGGCCTTCTTTTAGTTCAGGTTGACAGTGCCTCTTCTCTTGCAGGTGGGTACCAAGGTTGTGGCCATGGACACAAAGGTCACCCTGGATGTCCCCATTGGTCATGCTGTGGACAAGTCAAAATGAGCTCGGAATGTCTGAGTGCGTTGCCCAGCGACAGATCGCAGAGGAGTTTGCTCAGGACAGTGGAACTCTGAGCAGCCAGTTGAGCCTCAGGGGCTCAGTTGAGTTCAGGGGCCTCCTACTGGCTGCTGAATGAGCACATGGCGCAAGGATCCCCACAACTACTGAAGAGCCACGTTGCCAGAAAACAACACAGTGATGGGTATGAGCTGAGAAAGGAGGGTGAGGGAGAATAAAACTGTGCCTTATATTCTGCCTGGGGTGTGTATGCAAGGTTGTTTTGTGCCTAAACAAGAGCAAATTCCAGGAATTGTACCAGTGCCTGCACTTTTGACGACTCAAGACCTGTGGGTTCAGGCTCTGAGAGGAAACTTGGAGCTACCTCATAAGAGGGTCAATATGTGCCTCATTCTGCATGACAGACAGTCTGCTGTCCTTCTCAAAATGGCCAAAGCTGCTTGTTGGGGCACATTCCAGAAAGTTTGTGTTCATGCTTTGGAGAGGTCTGGCAGCCTCAGAATGGCTTCTGCCTTTACCTCAGGTACCCAGCCGGATTTTGGCACTGTGTGTGTGCTCATAGTACAGTTCACTTCCCTGGAAGCCACTGTTCTGTTTGCAGCTCTCCTATTTTTTCCAGGTGAGCTGGAGTCTCATTACACTCTCCCCACAAAGTAGGAGGAAGGCAGGTTAGTAGTTTCACTGAAAGAAATTTGAAGAAAACCCGTGGCAGTGATGGGAACAGGAACTACAATGCCACCTTTTGTCCACAGAGATAGTGTGGGGCACAGCGTTGCTGGGGGTGATACGGGATCCAGGAAAGCACTCAGCTCAGTCAGTATGACTATCTGTAGGAGCCATAGGTACAAGATTGCAGTTATCTGTCCCAAACAGGAAGAGCAGCATGCATTTGAAGCAGAACTTCTGGATTTGTCTTTCATGGCCCTGGCGATGCTCTCTCTTTAGAATGAGAGCTTGTTCTAATTTCTGCATGGAAGGGAGGGCTTATTCTCCTGGATTTGTATGATTGCTGCCAACCCATGGCTGGGAAAGTAACATCTGTGATAGGAGGAAGAGGCACTTACTGCCTGCTACTTGCCTGGGTGAAGCAGACCCTGCATGTACCTTCTGGAACAAAACACGTTCGTGGCATTGATGCTGGGAATGCTACTGCCCTGGAGGTAACCTCAGTCACAGCTATCTCTTTCTAGGGGCTTGTAATGCTGCCTGGGGAGCTGGGGTGGGGACAAAGGTCTGACTGTTGGTCATTCTGTGAGAGGAATGCTGCTCTACTGTCAACATGAGGACTGGTTCTTGATTTCTGATGAATAGTAGCTAGGTTGTAAATAGAAATCTGCACTGTTTGCTTAGAGCTAGAAGACTGATAGATTGTTCTTTAATCTTACAAAGCCAGTTTTGGAACCTCTTCCTCCCAGCAAAGGAGACAGATACTCTTATGCAAATGGTGTTTATAACTTTCCATTAATCATCCAGAAAGGGCTGTCAAACGTGGGAAGGTTAGGCAGTTTAAATCTCCAAGTTAGGCAATTTAAGTCTCCAAATTGCTGACTCTGAAAATACAAAGTGAAAGTTTAACTTGAAGTAACCTTTAATGGAACAAAGTGTAACCCATTCTTGTCCTTGCTCTGTGCTCAGTACCAGCAGGTAACATGAAAAGAAATGTCTTATCTGTCTGGTTTTTTGCCTTCCTGCTCTTACATGTGTATTTTTTAATTGGAGCTTCCGTGCAGAGTTACAGAGGGAACACATAAGCACAGGACTGTCCTCTAAGCACATAATTCCAGTCTAAAACCATCATAGTTCTCTCAGACAAAGGAATGTGTTTTCATGTTAGGCCGTCCTTACACACCCAGTCACTGGCATTTTCCAAGAAACTGTGAGAATGATACTTGTGAACCAAAAATGTCAGAGAACTGCAAGTCAGCTTTGTCTGAGCTGTACATTTAAAAGGGGGAGAGAAGTGTTTGGACAGCATGGGCTGCTAAACCTGCCAGGGTCAGGTCCTTGTTACAATCTTTTTGTAGACTTGAAGGTTCAGTCAGTCTCATGGACTGACCACCTCGCTGCGCTTTGGCAAAGAAAGTTGTGTGTCATGGTAGCCTGGAGAATTTTGCATAGAAAACATTTAAGGACCTTAGCCCCTCTGTGGAGTTAGATGCAATTGTCCTCCATTACTTGCAAGCAGTTTGCCTTCAGTATTCTGTACTCAGAATGTTTTGCCAATTGAGTATCATGCTTACCTGCAGGAGTCTTGCACAGGTCCCCGATAGCCCAAGAATGGTTTCAACTCTTATGTTGGTGATCTGTCTTAGGCAGTTGGTAGATTAGGGTGTAGTGATATCCTGCTGGCTTGCACGATGTCATTTCAGACCAGCTGGTCCTTCTGTTTATGAAGACGTTTTCAAGACAGACGTACGCACAGTGCTGCAACAGTAAAGATACATGTTTTTCTCAGGACAAATTTTCTTGCTGATAAAAAATAAAAATAGAAAATGATGAGGATGGGATCTGAGAGGCAAGAGGAGGACTTAATCCCCAGATTGGGAAAACAGGAAAATGTGAGAAAGCTGGAGGGAAAAATGCAGCAAGAACAAGGGACTGGAAGACCTGGAACAGTCCCCTCAGCATGGAAGACTCTAGAGAGGGTGTATCTAGGGCAGGGTATCGTAGGGCATCTCTCCTTTCTCAGAGGAGGCAAAGCACACCAGTGACACAACTGTGCTTGTACCTCCATGCACAAGTGTCTGGTTTGTCCCCCAGAAAACTGCAGAAATACAGAAGCTGGTTCAGCAGGGCTTCTTGGCTTTTCCAAGGCAGAAGGTAGTCCACAGGAGTGCACTGACCACGTGGAGTTCCACATCAGGGCAGACCTTGGCAGGAGCACACAGGTCGTGTAGGTGGATTTGCCAGCTTCTAGCTCAACGTGGCTCATCACCACATTTTGAAATATGAGAGCTTGTTCTGACTGGTGCTGCTTCCTTCTTCCCTTCGAGGTCAGGTGAGGCCAAGCACAGGTAGAACTGATAAGGCAGCATCAGACTCTCCTCCCAGCCTTCAGGGTGGGTCTGCTGGTGCTCCCATTTGCAATGCTTCTCAAGCACCTCAGTGCTATCATTACTCATGTTAAGAGCGGAAGGCTGGAAAGATCTCCAGCATTTCATCTTCTTTTTCAGCCTGCTGTGCCTTCACCTTCAGTGTTTCATCAAACTTGGCTTGTCAGTATGCCACTCCATCTTCTCCCAGTTCCTCTCCTTCACAGATACCTCCTCCAGTTTTCCAATGACATTGAAATAAGACATGAACTTGTTGTAAGAGAACTGTTCTGAAAAAATTACTGCTTCTGAGAAAAGAAATGTGTTGTGCTGTGAAGGGCAGTGACTGGCCTGGTACTTGTACATGTGCCTCCCACAGGCCACTTCTTGAGCCCTGCTGGCTTTTTTCTTTTTTCCTAACTTTCAGTCCTTCCTGGTCCCACTGTTCCCTTGTGCAGGCAAGAGGCAGCATGTGATGTGGCCAGCTCTAGGACACTGGCTGGTGGGCCCAGCAAAACTACTGCCTGCTGTGGCCTTCCCTCAGCCAAGAGCTCATGTCTGCCTTCTCCGGGTGTTCACCAGCTTCTAGATCAGGTGGGACCAGATCCTGCTGTCATATCTGGTCAGATATTGCTAATAAATCCAGTAAGATCTAAGCAGACTCTGTGGCCATGTACTCTGGATATTATTTTTCCTGGCAAATATCCCAAATACCTCATTTTTTTTACAGGATAAACGTGGTGAGGGTTAGTCTCTGGCATGAGTTGCTCACTAGTTAATGTGATTTTACCCTGGGTGAATGGTCTTGCCCTTGTCCTACCAGTGCAGTCTGTCCTTGAGATGCAGACCTGTTTTTTCCAAGTGGAAGTAACCCAACCATAAACCCAGAGTGAACTAATGCTGAAAGGAGATGCCCATTTTGCACAGTGCACCAAAGGCAGCTGTAAATCAGGTCCCAGAGAGGGCAGCTGGATGTTTCTCAGAAGTCCATTTCCCACCAGATCACTGTGTCCCAGAACTATTATTTGCTTCTAGTAATGCTGTACTAGTTTATGGTAAGTTGAGTAATCAGTAGAATGCTGCAAAATAAATCAGATCTCTTCAGATTAAAGACTTATTCCAGACTAAAGGAGAGGGGAAGTAAAAGCTGTATGAAATCTGCATTCTAAGTTTAAACTATTGCAAAAATCACGGAGTGGCAGTGATTATCAAATGAAATATTGCCCCTCCTCGGTTTTATTTGAGGCAGTAGGGTGATGGATGAGCTGTCAATAGCAGCTGGAATTGGAGCATTGGAAGTAGGCCCTGCCCACATCTCTGCCTTGCTGAAGGTGTTCAGGCATCTCCTTTACCTGTACAGCAATTACCTTAGCAGTTAAGCACTCCTACTGAAGCAACACATCAAGAACTGAAATCCAAAAATCCTACAGCAAACAAACCCACCATTGAAAGGAGAAGGTCCCAGCCTGGCTCCTCTGTCCTGCAGTCCTATCCCAACACGAGTAACACTGCATGTGGCACTCCTCTGACCTTATGGACAGCTAATTCAGCCTCCTAACCCAGCAGGAAACCATCTGCTTTCTAATTTTCCTTTGCTTCTTACCGGGTCATTAGGCATAGTGCAGATTCCTCAGTGAATCTCTCATCTCTCTTGAGTGAATCTCTCAACACTCATCAGTGCAAGGCAGTAAGACATAGGAGGAGGTTCCGCACAAGCTGAGGCATGTAACCAGCCTGGTGTGAGGAGGTTGGAAGTGGTGAGTTCTGGGTGCTAAATGACTTGGAATACTTGGTTGACTTCAATGCATGTGTATACAAGAGTCACAGCCTCTTACAGCTCTCTTGTTGTCTAGAAAGTCTGCTACCTGTCATGCACTATGCCTGGATACATTTGTTCCTTGTAGCTGTTAATGTTAAAAAGTTGATGTTAAAAAGTTGAATTGTGATCCAAAAGATTGAGCACACACACATCTGACATCTTGCACATACATCATTAGGTGGTTACTGTGCTCCTGAACATCACTCAGTCTTTGCTGCTGGTTTGGTCACTGATGAGTTTTGATTATATGCTGGGTCTTCATTTAGGCCTCTGGTTGTTGCAGAGAAAGAAATTTGCTTTGTTTGTTAGGCTGGTCACTGTGCTGGACTGTTGACAGCTCCTCCAGACATCATCTTTGCATGGAAAAACTGTTAGCTCCCAGTAACCATCCAAACATACTGGAGGTATCTAAGAACTGTGAAAAATCCCCTTTTCACCATCTTCCCTGGAACACCATCCATATGTAAATGACAGGATATTCAGGTTTCCTTTTGGGAAACCCAGCAGTGGTGCAAGCTGCCTTCCCTTCTCCAGTCTTTCACAATCTCTGCCCTTCTCAACCTCTTCATCCCCAAGAGCTACTCAGTCCAACCCCAGCCATGAGTGAGACCAAGCGTGGAGGGAAAGACTTGGGAGATCTGGTCCACTTTCTTTCTTCTACATGCTCTCATGTCCACAGCTCTGAGAGCAGCAGGAGCTGGGCTCAGGAAAGAGTAATTTTGTCTGAAAGAGTCTAGCAGAAGAAAATAGCAGTCAGAAAAGTGACCATCACCAAACCTGTGCAGCTATTCTGAGCTCAGAGGAGCCTCTTAGCACAGTACAGAGAAACAGAAGGTGTACATTGCAAACGGAGCCAGGAGGAGGACCTGTCTTCTCAGTGACAACAGCATAATTGGAGATTTTAAGCTGGGAGACCAGAGGTAGTCCTGAATATAGTGACAGGTCAGCTGTGGGTCTGCATAGGAGACTGCTGCAGCCGGATTGCAGGAACAGCCAGCTACCGAACCATAAGCTGGACTGTTTTTCAGTTTAAATCAAATTAAATGCTTCTTAAATGGATGGTTTAAGAATTCTCTCCTGTCCCCCTAGTGACTGGCCTGATGGGGGGAGCCAAGATACTGTTTCCTCATTCCTGGGAGTTCACTGCTTGGACTCACCACTCCTTAGCTGGGTTCAGTTATTTAAGCAGGACAGCCTGGGAGAATGCATCGTGTGAAAGACAGGGGCTGTGCTGCACACTGTGTGCAATCTTCGGGCAGTTGGTCTTTGGCTCGTCTTTGTAAGTGCGGTGACCATGGCATCCCAAGGCCAGGTGATGTTCTGGAGGTACAGTATAATCTGTGTCTGCTTTGGGAGTGAGAGGAGGGAGGGAGCTGCTTCTTCCTATCTGCTTGACTGGATCACACTGCTGCCAGGAGCTTTCTAGAGAAGAGTTCTTTGCAGCTTGACCCTATACTGCATTCACTGAGACTACTTAAATACCAGAATAGATTCTTTTTTACTGTCAGTAAGGCAGTGCATCTGTTGGACTCCCTCCTGCAGGTCATCAATTGCACCCAGAATGCAGACAGACGTCCCAGAATCTGCATGGGTGGAATAAATACCATCTCGAAGTGAATGCTGCTGCAGACCAGGGCAGTGATGGCTTGAGGAAGGCTCTTTGTGCCTGCTCTGGTAGGTTAGGGTATCCTAGGCTTGAGGAAGGTTCCATGTCCCTGTTGTTGAGTCACCAACAAGCTGCATCTCTTCATCTCATGAATGAGCTTTTCCAAGCTGGATGAAGGCAGAGGTTCCACTGAGGTGTGTGAGACACTTGCACTTGGATTTATTCTGTAGGAAAGGCTTCGGCTGCTCAGAGCGTGTCCCATGCAAGCTGAGCAGCAGCTGGGATCAGGATGGTCTGTGCACAAGCCATGCTCCATCTTTCTCACATCCCCTTGGTTTGGGCAGCTTGCAAAGTGGATATCAACGTGCTGCTCATGCATGGCTTGGGGTGTGGGGTCTCAGTGCTCTCTGCTCACCTCTCTGGGGAACTGTTCCCTCATCAGTGAGGATGATCTGATTTGGTAGGGAAGGGCTGTACTCATGAACCAGAGGCTGCAGTCAGGAGAACTCTGCTCTGGGGGAAGAACCTGGGGCTTCTCTCCTTCCACCACATGATCCACTACCTTTGACGAAGAGCAATCACAGCAACTCTTGTCGCCACCACAGTCCTGCACCTCACCAGAACACCTCACTTCAAGTCTGTCACTTTCCTGCCTCCGCCTCTTTCCTATCAGCAGCTCTGCAGACATACGCCAGGTGTAAGGGAGGTAGGTTGCATCGTAACAGTGTTTTTTTTTTTCCTGAATAGCACTACCACAGTCATTATCATCCTAGCTGCTGTGATTGCCTTGATCATCGGGTTTGGTATCTCAGGTATGTGACCACTTGCATTCCTTGCTGGTGCCAGGGGTGACACAATCCTGCCCTGGCATCCGCACCCTCCATCCTGAGGTGTGATCCTGTGTGGAAGGGCCATCCACCAGATTTTAGTTAAGGCTTCATTTTAATGTAATGTAATGATTGCAAGATGGCTGAGTGAAAGTTGCACAGGTGACTTCTGTTCTGACATTTCTCAGCAAAGCTCCGTGGCATTAAACCACAGCCTGGATGTTGCATAGCTCTTAAAGTACAGAAAAAGGGAAAAAAAAAAACACTGGGCTTGTTTAGCTTGGAGAAGAGAAGGCTCCAGGGAGACCTCATTGTGGCCTTCCAGTACTTGAAGGGAGTGTATGAGCAGGAGGGAGAACGGCTGTTTACAAGGGTAGATAGTGACAGGACAAGGGGAATGGTTTTAAACTGAAACAGGGGAGGTTTAAGTTAGATATTAGGAGGAAGTTTTTCACACAGAGGGTGGTGACGCACTGAACAGGTTGCCCAAGGAGGCTGTGGATGCCCCATCCCTGGAGGCATTAAGGCCAGGCTGGATGTGGCTCTGGGCAGCCTGGTCTGGTGGTTGGTGACCCTGCACACAGCAGGGGGGTTGAAACTACATGAGCATTGTGGTCCTTTTCAACCCAGGTCATTCTGTGATTCTATGATTTAAGAAGCCACCTACAAGACATTGCCAGCTACACTTGAGATCAGCCTTGCCTGTGAGGCAATGGTGGAGCTCCCAGAGCATGGACACTGGTTGATGCTGCAAGAGACATGAGTTGTCATGGTGTCAACTCTAGGGCTCTGCTTCCGTATCATGGCAGCAAGTATGCAACACGGATCATTTCTGAGAGGTGTCTCAGGACTATTTTTTTCAGGACTGGTGATTTCTCAAAATTCAGCCATTTTTTTCCCCCTCATTGAGGCTCTGTACTGTGCTCTTTGGAGACTGTGAGCTCCCGTGTGGATTAAATAACACAGAGATTTACACACACAGGATTTCCAAGAAGATTTGTCATAGGCATGAATGAGCTTGGCTGATCAGGCTGAATTCCAGTTCACCCAGTAAGTGAATTCTTGACCTCTGCTTTCACAGCAGAATTAAAGGGACTTTTGTTTTGTTGTTTTAATCTTGGGTTCTGGCAACTGAAACATTTACTTTTTTATGCTGCTCAAGAAAGGGGTGGAAAAGTGTGGAGCAGCCTGTGCTGATGGGGGTTTGACACTGTGTTAGCAGGAATTGTCCCAGGGTCCAGAGCCCCAAAGCCAAACATGCAGAAAATCCTGAAGACCCCGTTCTCCTTCTCACAGATGGGAAGTGTCTTCAAATCTGGTACTGGCCCGGTCTCTCTGCACTTCGTGCCACCATGCTTTCTCCTTGCAGGGAAGCGCTCCATCAACGTTACCGCCTTGACGTCACCTGGGAACATTGGCCAGAGTGGCCTCCTGGGCTGCACCTTTGAGCCTGACATCTGGATGGGCAGCATAGTGATTCGGTGGGCAAAAGTTGGAGTGGCCGGATTGGTTCATGAGTTCAGAGGAGGGAAGGACCACCTGCAAGAACAAGACGTGGTGTTTCAAGGCCGCACGGCCATTTTTGCAGACCAGGTGATGGGTGGAAATGCTTCCCTGGAGCTGAGAGAGGTGCAGCTATCTGATGCTGGTACCTACAGGTGCTCCGTCACCACATCCCGAGGGAGTGGAGCGGCTGTGCTGCGGTACCAGACGGGAGGTGAGGAAATGCTGTCTGGGGATACGGAAAAGAAACCCGCGCTGTGAAACATAGGATGATGTGGCCAGGTCAGGCCTCTAGAACAGGTCGCCTGCAGGAAAAACCACCTGGACGTTGTCCTGGGCACCTTACTCTCCTGCTTGAGCAGGAGTTGGGCAAGGCGGACCCATCTGGCAGTCACCATGGGGCTCTTCACACCTGAGTAGGACAGTCTGATGGTGGTTGGGAGGATCTTTTCCCTGAGATGCTGTTTCAGTGAAACCAGACTTGGTGAAGGAATTACACGTGTTCAGAAGGGGGCAAAGCCCAGCGTCAGTGGCTGAGCTGGAAACTTCTTGTGAAGTCTGAAACATTATTTTTGTGAAAGGCCAAACTGCATTGTGTGAGTGTGCTGTTTCCTTTATTCTGTGGCATGACAGAAGGTGAAAGCTGACACAATTTTTTCCCACCTCTATCAGGTCCTGAAGGACATAAAGTGCCGCTTGGCTCTGCCAAGGCTTTTGATCATGCTCCAAGCTGAATATCCAGAGCTGGAAAAATTAATATGCACAAGAGGATAAGAAATGGTTTTTTTTTGGCTTTCCAGAGATGTTGATGGCCTTATCCTCTCTTTCCATATCCTTGCTCCAGAGAAAGGAGATTTCTATTTTAATACTTCTTTGCATTTTGTGTTTCTTACATTTCCCACATGCAGTTTACTAGCTAATCATCTGTCTATGAAGAACGCCTATTTTTAGAATGGGTGTTGCTGAATGATCTCAGAAAGATCCAGATTTTATGCCTGTTAAAAGGGTTTTTTTTCTTCTTTCTCTCATACCTTAAGACATACCTCCAGCCAGAACTGCTGCATAGTCAAAATTCTAGTACATTCACAATCTTTATCCTGTTTTTATAATTTATACCCCTTTAAAACATGATTATCAAAGCAACAAACAACCTATCTCATAGTTACCTGAAGCATTATGTATTTGCTAGATTTAACCATTTAACCTCCTGGGCTGTGTGTCGAGGACCAAGCTCAAATGTAACTAGCAGAATTACTTAAAAACACTAAAGCTGTGCCACAACCTCAGCAGATCTGGTCAAACTGGAGGGCCTTGTCACAAGGAGACTTTGCTCTTCTACAGACATCCCTGTTGAGGGACATGGTTTAGTGGGAGCTATTGGTAATAGGTGAACGGTTGGACTGGATGATCTTTTAGGTCTTTTCCAACCTTGGTGATTCTATGATTCTATGTTTCTAAGACTGCCTGAGCCCGTGTTTTTTGGCCACATGCAGCACTGAGATGTGAGATGTGAGGAATGACTGGAACTGGCAAGCAAGTAGGGCCTGGTTCTCAGATGTTTACCTTTCTGATTCTCCTTGCTTCCCTCCCCAAGCCTTCAGCACCCCCAGGGTCCACGTGCAGACCAGTAGCAGCGGGGACACATTGGGCTGCAAAGCGCCGCGCTGGTTCCCTCAGCCCACCGTGCGCTGGATGGCATACAGCAACGCTGGGAAGTGCCTGCCTCATGCTGCCAACACCAGCTATGAGCTGAACTCTGAGGACATCACTGTGAAAGTGGTTTCCTTTCTGCGCCACATTACAGCCAACGCCACGTACACCTGTGTGATTGAAAACAGCATTGCCAAGGCTACAGGGAACATCAAAGTGACAGGTAGAGATCAACAGCACCCAGAGACCACAGGCACAGTTCAGTCAGTGTGTGGTGTGCGATGGGGGATCCTGCAGCACTGCCTCCTCTGTACTGAGGAGCGGTTTTGGGAAAGGAGGAGAAGGCAGGGGCCACTGCTTGCTTTCCTCTGCTGGATTCAAAATAGCAGAGCATTATTTAGCATATTTGGTAGATGAGGTCCCGTGTGTGCTCAGCACAGAGCAGAGGAGCTGAGCATATACTGAAAACACTGAAACCTCAAACCAAATCCTCCAACTTTTGACTCTTTCTTTAGCCACTTCAGCTTAGATAACTGCATTTGTAACAAACCTGCATGCAATAATTGAGAGCCTAAAGCATAGTTTGAAAGGAAATATAGCAGGATTTAAGAATGTTCAGTTGTCATCTATGCCATCCTAAATCTAGAGTCTATTATTTTAGGACAAACTTGTGTTAGCAACACTTGACACAGCATGAAGAGTTGTAATACCACTCAGATTGACAGATGCTTAACTACTGGCAATCTTCTATTGCACATAAGATTAAAACCATATATGTATATTTCCAAGCTGGGTATGGAGGCTTTTGCTTGTATTTTCAGTTAGATGTCTCAATTATTCTGAAGAGGAACACTGTGCAGAAGGGAACTCATTGGATACTTGACTTCAGCTCTGATATGTCTACCTAATAGAGATCACAGAATTCTTTTTTTGTTTTTTTTCATTGATTTATTTTCTCAATCATCCCTATCTCCCCTAATTCAGAAACCATTCAGCATCTTGCTCCTGTAAAACTAGTATACACAATCAGTTTTCAGAATCATTGAACTGTACACAACATCCCCAGGTGGAAGGGACCCATAAGGATCACTGAGTCCAACGTCTGGCTCTACCCACAACCACCCAAAAGTCAAACCCTTTGTCTGAGAGCCCTGTCCAAACACTCCTTGAACTTGGTTATTATTTTGTGTTCTACATGGAAAGGGTCATGGCTCTTCTGCAGTGAGGGCTTCATTACAGTGTGGTCCAGCAAGAGGTATCAGCATTCAGAAAAGCTAAGAGCAATAGGTCTACCCACTGATTTTGCTTTTTTGCCATGTTCTCCAATCTGGTAGCCTCTTCTCACTATTCATCCGCTGCAGATTTCAACATTACAACAGAGACCAGCTTACATGTCGTGAACCTGAACACGGAGTCAGTGTCTTCCTCCCTTCCAGCCTGTCACTGGATGCTCCTGCTTCCCATGTGTCTGCTGTCAATATAGACCATCTGCAAATGCTGTTGGACGAGGAGGTAAGCTTCAAAAGAGAAACTGATAAGCATACACCTTATATACACATCAGAGGCTATGAGTCTCTAATACAGTTCACTTCTGCTAGGCCACGTTCACGTCTTCTTCTACCCCCTAAGAAGTAGCACAAGCCATGCTTGCACTCCCTTTACTCAGATAATCCTACTGCACTGTGTGGTACCTACAGTAAATGCTGCTTACTGGGGACACCTTGAACAGGGCTACAAGGAGCTGCCAGCCTGAGCAATCCCACCTAGACTGAGGAGCACTGGGGCCATCACAAAGCATAGGTCAACTGCCTGCAGGATTCATCAGTTTCGGGTGTGGGGCTCGAGAGGTAAACTGATGAGCTACCAAAATAAATACATAAATAAATCAGCTAAATTGAACACCTCTGTCCTTCCATGCAGAACAATCACAGCAGATACAGTATTCTTTGTATTTCTTATCCCTGCCAACAACAGGATATTTTGATTTCAGAAAGAGATTAATTGTGGCAGCACAGATGACTAAATAATGAGGAGGAAAAGAGGGAGATTAGTGCTATTGGAAAGTTCCAGTTCAGAATTAAACCCAGTTTTTCAACAGTTTCAACTGCATAGGGAAAATCTGCCTTATTGTTTTTAAATAGGTCTCTTATCTGGCACTTCCTATCTACCACTGTAGCATTGTCTATAACTATGCTAACCCATTTCACGGGATACTTTCAGTGGTAGTTTCTAATTTGATTTTGATCTGTTCATCTTAGGTCAACATTTCTTTATGATGAGAAAATTTTCTTTTTTTTTTTTTTTCTTTCTTTTTTTTTTTTCTCCTTGGGAAGACAGGCAAGCTTCAGCAAAACCTTTACCTTTTCTGAGAAAGCACCTACTGGAAAAAAAAGGCCACTGTGGCAAAACTTAAAGATCTTTCCTTTCTTCTTTTTGTGACCTCCCTTAGGATGGAGTCTCAGAACTTTATCGAGCAGCAGCATTTGTCAGGTCTTGGGAACTCATGCTTTGGTCCAGAAGAGGCAAGCAGACTGAAGATACTTTCCACACACTCAGTAAAACCATCACCTGAAAATTAATATAAGGCTCAAACTAAGGGGGAAGGGGAAAAGACAGAAGGAAAGAATGAGCAAACAAAACCCCAAATTCTATTTGAGGAGCTGCTCAAATAGGTACTATGCACTGAGTAAGGTGGGGAAGTAATTTTGGGTTGAATTTATTAACCTATACAAGTACAGAATGCTCAGTTATTGCTGCAAGCAGATGGAAGTGGAGTATCTTTAAATGGCATTGTGCCAGCAAGGCTGCTATGCCACTACAGATAAAGGCACATAGCATTATATTTTCCCCAACTTACTAACCAGCAGCAGATGGACAAGCCTGGAGTGTACTGTCAACTCGTATCATAGCTCTCTGCATTCCTCGTTACCAGCCCCAAATAATGTTCAGGCTGCAATAATGTTTAAGCTGCAAAACAATGCTTGCATAGTACTGTTAGTGCCATGATTTAGTCTCCAAACAGTAACTTGTTTATTTCTTTTCTCTTCTTCGAGGAAGGAAGTGCTTTAAAAACATTTTAGTCATTCCAAACATGTTAAGGAGAATTTCCTCTAAGGAAACTACACACTTTTCCATGAAGACAGTGAATGAACTGCAAAATACCGGTCTCTGGCTCATAAATTAATCTACATCCTGACTCAGTTCCCCATATAGCAAGTAAAATGGTATTAAAATAGATATTGTTATTTAAACTGCAATGTGATAGCCTTATTTACTAGATACTGCCACATAAAAAACACATTATATGCCCTAGGCCCAGAGCAATAGCTACCACGTAGGAGATAAATGAACATTTCTTCCTTGAAGCATAGCCCGCAATGGCTGGTGGCAATGGTCCAGTTCAAGAATTCCACTAGTCAAGGCAGCTTCTTGGGTACAGTCTTCATGCTGTGCTCACAGGCCTGTGCTCCCACTGGAAAGGAGGAAAGAGGGGAAGAAACCCCCTCCCAATTCCATAGGCATTTCCATGATTCATTTCCCACTGGGGAAGATGTTAAGTAGTGGTTCCCACTTGGCAGTGACCAGACATCCTCTCGATCCTCTCTCTGTTCAGACAGCATAAGGCTTTTTGTCCTACTTCTTCCACATTCAGGCACAACAGGCTCTGTCGAGGTCTCACTTGTGACACAAACTCCATTTCACCGCACCGAAAATTTCTCACTTGCACTGGAGCTGAAGGGGAAGGACACAACACGTAATTGTTCAGTACATGGCTCCTAAGCTCTAGCACACAAATTTAAAAGTTCTGCAGGAAAGAAAGCCTTGCAGCAGCCGCTTGACATCTCCTAAACCACAAAGGACAGGAAGATTAACAAATACAGGAGGAAACAGACATTTTATGTTGTGAATTGCTATGGACAACGTACTGCTTGCTGAGCTGTGCACAGTGCTGCTGCACTGAGCTCTGTATCTTTTCTTACCATCAGCAATCTGGCCTTACAGAGTTACATAATATCCCGAAGACAGTGTCAACAGCAGAGCATCTTTTGGTGAGCCTAACAAATCAGCCTCTGCATGCCTGGACCCACACCCACGTGGCTAGGTATTAGCAAGGTGGCTTGAAGAGAACGTCCCCTTAAATGAGTAACTGCACAGCTGTGGCAGCATGAGCTCAGACATCACTACCCATGAATTTAAAATCCTTCAGTGTTTCAATTTCTGTGGCCATGGTGAGGATTTCCAGACCTATGCTTAATTCTACCTTCTTTCTTGTTTAAGGCCAATTCTGCCTGCTGTCTTGCCTAAGGCCAGAAGCCACTTTGTTTGTAAGTAACTCTGGCCTTCTAGGCCACAAGGGCATGATGCTGGCAAATGGCCAACCTGTTGTCCACCAGGACACCCAGGTACTTCTCTACAGAGCTCCCTTCCATGAGGTCAGCACCTAACCTCTACTGATGCATGCTGTTTTTCCTCCCCAGGTGTAAGACTCTGTATTTGCCCTTGTTGAACCTCACCAAGTTCCTCTCTGCCCAACTCTCCAGCCTGATACCTTTGAACAACCACTATCCTGGCTAGATGATATATTTTCCACTTAAAACTTGAACAGAAGTATTCCGAGTTTGTCACCACAATAATGATGATTCAATACTATTTTAATATGCTTTTGTGTAAAGTAAAAGCAGAAAGTGTCACTTTATACAACAATATTAATATACTCTCTCTGTATTTTTTGCATCCATGGAAATTCCTTGGAAATCCTCCAAAGGTCTTGTTTTGCGGGCAGAGAAGGCAGCTCCCCTTCCTGCATGGTGAAACAGCTTCTAGCTTCCTTCCCACACCCATTATTACAAAAGCCAACAGTGTTTGCTCACCAGGCTGCAGGACTTTGGAGGGCTTCCTGTCTAGGCTGAAATCCAGCAGAATAGGGCGACAGATGAGAGAACTCCTGCAGAGGTTCCTTAAGTAGCAAGCAATGGGATCCTCCAGTTCCTCCACACACTGAGGAAGGAAAGGGTGTGTTGTCAGTATGTGTGGAGGGGGGCAGGGAGCCCCTGAAACACCCACAGCAAAAGGAAATCCAGTCCCAGTGAAAGTCACACCCTGCATGCAGCAGTCCATGCCTGAATAACCCACTCACCCCAGTCCCAGTAGCTTCTCCATACTGAATGAACAGGCTGCCTCTGCTCTGCACACAGCTTTGCACAGCTTCCCACTCAAGAAGGCTCAGGCCCAGCATTGCTGCCACGTGCTGGTTCCTGCACAGCACCAAAGCTTCACCTGTTCCATCCTCCACCAGCACCCTATGGAGAGAGCAGGCAATGAAGAAGTGGAGGGAGGTCAGAACAACACCCTGCCCCATCACAAACATCACCTCCCAGGCAACAAGTCCCAGTAAAGAGAGGTTTGTCTACCTCTGGGAAGTCATGAGGAATCTCAACTCCTATCTTCACTATTCTGTCCACATCCCATCCACGACTGGCCTGTCCCCTCCCGTGTCACACGATTTGTTCCCTCCTACCCACCTCTTCCCATGTCCAGCCTCTACATGCTTACCGTGCACTGGCTTGCCTCACTCCAGTGTGTGATGGACAGGGTGGACTGTGTCGGGTGCACTTCCCCTGAAGGAAGAGTAAAGCTACAGCTATGTATGGGTGGCTACAAGAGAGAAGGTGAATGGCCACTGTTTCTTTTAACTACCCTAACTAACTATGCAAAGGAATAAAGAACTTCACTGTATTTTCAGTGGGTGCCTTGAGAAAAGTTCTTCTTGAGAAGAAAAAACATACTGCAAGGTGTGATACACCTCAAGAGCAGAGCACGGTGCATGGCAGGATTCTCCTCTGAAAGTCCTCACTTTACCCCTGCTCCTCACTGCAAACCTGCCTGATACCAGATGCGTACTTCTCATCAGTTGTCATTTTGATCCTTCTCCAATATGCAAGTATTTTTCAGACACTACAATAAAGGGTTCTAGGATTAGATAGAACTTATTTCTTCTACATGGTAGCATAAAATATATGAGTAGAAAGTCTGCAGGCCTTCTGCCAGATTCTCTCTGGAAGCTTCCATACCTCTTTGAAGATGCTGCTGCAAAGAGAGCAAACCCACTGCAGGGAGAGAGTCAACACACAGGACACGTGGCACAAAATCCGTGCCTGGGGCAGGGTTTGTAAGTGATGTTGCAAGTTGGATATAAACACCAGCGAAGGGGATGAGGCTCTTCCTGCACAACTAGAAGAAACAGGACCATGAGAAACTTGGAACAGGGAAATCTTCTTCAGGACACTGAGAGGTGGGAACAGAACCTGGACTCACCTGGAGGTAAAAAGTTGATGAGAAGCTGGGAGAGACAGGATGGTCACACAGCTGGAGGCAATGTATGCGCAGTAAACATTATGGAATCTGCAATATGAGAGCACAGATGTCAGAAACAGCTCATAGAAAACAAATGGCTTGTTGTTTTTTGTTTTTTTTTTTCCCTGGGTGGCTGGTCTGGTAATCTGACATGGTAGGAATGCCATTTGTAGTAAGGGCTGGGGACTTAGGCAAGTGTGGACAAGGGATAAACCCAAAGAAGAGGGGAGATCATTTCAAAGAAAGGCAGGGAGGTCAGATCCAGTCCAGGACCAGAGCAGGGCTCAGGGTACCTTGAGATTTTGCGTTCCAAGTTCTGAAAGAGGATCTTGGCTCCAGGTAGCAAACCCCTGAGATGCTGCAGATAGGTTGCAGCAATGTAAATGTCCAGCACAACAGGGGAGCCTGCAGCAGCTGAAATGCTGAGCTTCACGCTGTGATCACTGGCCAGCAGACTCCCTGGGAAAGCACAGAAAAACACACATCATGAGCTCAAACACAGACAGCTTAGTCTGCCACTTAGCTGAATTTGCTGGAGGTGTTTTCTTCGCATCACAACA